AGCCTGTATTGCCCTGCCTTTAATAAGATAAAAATCAGCAAATAGTGCGCGAAAATAGCTTCAAGATCTCATCTCAAAATGACCACACTTAAAATRCAGTTTTCTCTATAGTCACTTATAATAAAATGAATGCTATCGACATAAAGATAAAACTGTAAGGCAGCCTATGTTTTCAAATAAAAGTTATGTAGGATTTACACCAATGCATTAGTAAACTAGTACACCCTCATCGCGGTCWCCATCTAAAACTTGACATTTCACAATTTGTTACTTGGAGGACAGTTTTGAAGTTGTTAGGAAGTCCAATAGTGGACTGTTTAATCTGTCTATTTGTGAGATGTTGCTGATCTAAGATCTTAAACCGGAACTAAACATTCAAAGGAACTCTTTTAGAGATAACTTGGTTATTTACGACCTGGCAGATTCATAGTTTCGTTATATTGGCGACACTTCTTTATAGCACCATTTATGCTTGATAATAACGTCTGAGTGAGATACTGAAACGTCGAACTCTTTTTTCTTTATTAAAATGAGACAAAAGAAAACCTTCCAAAACTGATGCCTGAGACGTTTATCTAGGCTTTTAAGCAAATACGGCGAAGATGTAGTGGGTTTCACCCTCATCGGCAGCGTCTTTCAGTTTTGTTTTGACTTTTAATTCTAGCACTGAACAACTCGTGAAGTCCCTTTTGATTGATGTTCCTTGACCCTGCTATCCGTTCTTTCTTCAAATTACGAATAGAAACTCTTCATTTACATAAAACCTTAATTCGCACTTGAAAATGATGCCCTAATGATGCATTCGTCTTGAAGTATCGCGTCAAAATCTCGATCCTCATCTGAGTCGCTTGGATCAACAATCATGAGGTCTGCTTTTCATCCTCGTGGGTTAACTATCAGTTTGTTTTTTCTGTTCAGTACAGAGTTGTTTACCAAAAACACCTCATCAGCCTCTAGCTTTTTTAACAAGACGGAAAATTGTTTCTGTCGAGCGAGAAGCCACTCTACCATGGTCTGTAAGATTACTCGTATTCGTGACTTAGAAGGCCTGGTACATCAAAAACACAAAGTATCACGTTTGTAAGTTACTTCTGATTCTAACCTTATAGAACCTTAAAGGC